GACCGACCTCCGAGTTGTGCTTTTTGCCAGTTTCAGGTGTGTGTGTGTGTGTTGAGTGACCAAGCTGTACCGTGCATCCTCCGAGCATCCTCCGAGTTGAGATCCTCCTCCGAGTCGAGCCTCCGAGTCGAGCACTGCAGTATTTCTGGGAGTGACAGTCGCCTAGAATTCAAACTCTACCAAAAGTCTGTTAAATGTGACACTTTTACTCTGTGTGTTGCCTCTGTCCCTGTGGGTTCGATCTTTTTACCACCATACTGCAGTTTTAGCCTTTGGTGGGTTATTACAGACGCCTTCGGATCAACGCCTTCGGCGATGCGGGAGAGTGCATTCGGCGGAAGAGTGAATCCCTCATAACTTTCTCAATTCGCAACGCCTCGACTTAGTTAGGGTCTCGTTGGAAAGAACTCGACGCGCTGATTCCAACGAGCCCAAGAATGCCAACAACGGATGAGGATTCCGGGAGTTATGAAGGTCGCAAGATACTCAGCTTTCCGCCTCCGCAAAGGCGAAGAAAGTTTTGTCCTATGCGCGGACGAAGGAAGTTCGCCTGCGCACAGGCGAAATAGAGTTTTGATGTAGGCGCGAAGTTCGCTTACGCACAGGCGTTTGCCTGTGCACAGGCGCTTCGGCGTCGGCGGGAAATCCGCCTTCGGATCTAGAAATGTGCCTTCGGGGTTGGAACTTGTACGGCGCCAGCGCAACAGCGCGGAAGTAGGCGGACGGCCTGTGGATAGGCGGCCTGTGCACAGGCGGACGGCCTGTGGGTAGGACGCGGACGCCTGCGGATAGGCGAACGCCTTCGACGGAAGAGAAAAAACCATCATAACTTTCTCAATTCTTAACGGTTTGACTTAGTTAGGGTCTTGTTGGAAAGAGCTCACGACGCTCGTTAGAACGAGCGTCGTTCTTGGTCTCGTTAGAACGAGACCAAGAACTCTTGGAACGGATAAGGCGTCACTGAGTTATGAGCGTCTGTCATGGTTAGGAGAGAGGCCTTCGGCGTTAACATATAGAGGAGCCTTCGGCGTTAACAGTTAGAAGGGCCTTCGGCCCAAGGCGGCCTGCGAGTAGGCGGCTTGCGTGTAGGACGCGTGGGACCCACAGTCCTCGGATTTTGGAGAAGGAATTTTGGCCTAGGTTCAGAGATCTTGCGAGGCCCATATCTTTGCGATGGACGGTCGGATGGATCTGAAATTTTGTGACGCCGTTGATCTCGGCCGGCCACGCATGCCTGCAAATTTTCAGCCTCAGATCTTGGATGGGAAGGCGCTGGCGGCTCTGTACAGTAGGCTTAGGATTGAGATTTAGGGTTAGGGTTAGATTTAGGTTGTAAGTTAGAGGGGAAGGCAGCCGCCGACTCCTCAGGTGTAGAATCTGTTGCGGCTCGCACCATGGCATTGCAGTGTAGTGTTAGTCAGGACTTAGAAGGTATAAAATAGTTCAAGGCGTTTTGCCTTGGGTTCTTTTCCAATTTCGGAAGTGCTGATCAGGAACTCATTTTCTCTGCGTGTTTGTGTCTTTAGTTCTGTCACCACGCACGGGGAGCTACACCTTAGCGTTCCGCATTGTGTAGCTGAAGGTCTCCGGTTGAATGTTCAGAGCTAGTACATTGGTTAGAGACTTGAGTAGTTCGGATCTACACCTGCGGGTGACTGCCGATGCTCAGAGCCAGTGACTAGTTAGATACTTGAATAGTTTCGCCCCTACACCTTTGAGTGTTTGTTTCTGATTGTACTCCTTCAGGATTTTTCCCCTGAATGCCAAAGTGAAGTTTTGTTACTTCGTGTAAGCCTTGGTTGTAAATTCAAGTTACGCTGCAGCAGGTGCCTTCAAGGTAACCCTTGTAGTATTTCTGGGAATGACAGTCGCCTGAGAATTCAAACTCTTCAATAGTCTGTTAAACGTGACACTTTGTACCCTGTGTGTTCCTCTGTCCCTGTGGGTTTGACCTTTCTACCACTATATTGCAGTTTTAGCCTTTAGTGGGTTATTACACTGTTGCTGCATGAACTAAGTCACCTTGACATGAGAAAGATCTAAAGAACACATGATCTTCATCTAGGCACAGTCACGATAAGGTTGTCAATTCTGTCTTAAGTAAGATGCTCCATCGTGTAAGTGTAAACAAGCGGGTGGAGTTCCTCTTTATTTTGTGTCTTCTTTCTTAGAAAGTGAATACTTCTCAATGATTTGATCCCTTAAACTCCTGAACTTTCTCGCCGTTTTTCACGGGGCCTTGGAGACATCTATTTGTTTGAGAATCATATTCACTTGCAAGAGCCCCATCAGATCCGTTAACTCCTCTTTGAATCTTCTCTGAGAGAGGATTTCAAGATAAAGACAAAAACAACATAGTGGTATTTGTGTTTCCACGCAAGCATCAGAGCAGTTGCTTCCATATTTAAAAAAAAAACCTTTGCAATCTAAATAGAAATGCAGTCTATTCAAAGATGAAGTTTCTTCAGTTTTTCCATTCATCAAAAGAATAACTTTTATATTTTTTTGGTTGCCATGGAAGCTTTGAAACTTGGATTTAGGAGCTGGAATGATTCCCGCTACTCCATGGTCGTAATTTTTTCTAGTGAAAGCAAATGGATTTTGATGAGAGTGTTCATCATGGCGAAAGTTTGATCACCCTTATTTTCATCCGACATGTAGACTCAATTACTAAAAAACCTTACCTTCCATTGCCTTAGGTCCTGAAGTTATGAGGTGTTGTTTTGCAATCTATAATCTCCTCTCCAAAGAAGGGGAGACCATAGACGTCCTGGGCTGTTTTGCCCTGCTTAATATGGGAACATAGTCGGGAGGCCAAAAGTGCATCAATCATACAAACCTGGCTTTCCCTACCATAGATCTAATCTATGTTATTCTTATAGATATTCGTTGAAAGAAACTAAAAGAATCTTCTACTATTTTTCTATCTACAAAACAGCCGCCTCACATTTTTTCCTATGAACTCAGCAGTGAAGAGCAAATTGCGCCGGAAAGAAAGAGAAGAAGTAGGAAAAATACAACTCGCCTAAATTTAATATTTTTTTCACTTTCTTCTTTTCATATATTTACTATAAGCACATTTATTGTAATAAATGTGAGTCTTTTCTTTGCTGGATCAGAAGTGCCCTAGTACATTTCATACTTTTTTTTCACCTTTTTAATTTCATATCAATTCTATAGCATGTTTGTTCTAATCATTGTGAGTCTTCTCTTGGCTAGAGTAGAAGGGTCCAGGTACATTTTATATTCTTCTTCATTTTTCTTTGGTTTCATATCATTTTTATTTTGATTATCATAAGTAGTTTTTTCTTGGCTGGAACAAAAGGGCTCCAGTACATTTTATATCTTTCATTAATTTTTTTTTCATATCATTTTTATAGCATGTTTATTTTGATTATCGCAAGTAATTTTTCTTGGGTGGAAGAAAGGTCTCAGGTACATTTTATATCTTTATTTTATATTTTTTTCTTTCATATCAATTATCTGCTATGCTTTTTCTTAATTTTTATGTTTGTGAGTCTTTTAGTGTTTTTAAAAATGACGTTGGTTGAAAACGACTTCTCCATCATCAAATGAGAGAAAGATGACTCCCACATCAGTATTTCCGAGACTCTCCTTGGTGGTCATTATGCGTGCGAGGAAATTCAAAACATTTAAAATGATTATTGCTTATCCATTGGACGAAAAATAATGAAATCATAGTGTTAATGCCAAAATGCAGTAGAAAAATTTACCAGAATTAACTTAATTCTTACAAACCTGGCATTTGCCAGATTTGAGTAAACATGCATTAGAGTGAGATCGCGAGCTGTTCGGACGTTAATTGGGGTGCAACTTTCAAGCGTGCCAAGAGGAAAGCCGTGACGTCCAGCAGACTGCGCAACCACATAACTTTGGCCACACAAGGTCTATGCCCTTGACCCGCTGACATCGCTTGAATTGCAGTGATCTACGCTTTGATTCGGTCACCAAGTATGACAGACGCAGAATGCTACGCAATGGTGCAGCTTGCCTGCAACGTCAAGATTGAGTCTATATCCATGCACCGCTGGGGTTGTTCGGGCTTTTTGACAAAAGTGGCGATTAGTCGGCGCACAGCCGCAGACACCAAAATCTGATGGGCAAACATATAGGCAAACATATACGCTGAGCTATCAGCCCAGCGTACGTTGTTTCAGATCCGGAATGCGTCATGTTTTTGCCGAACGTTTATTGGATTACTACCAATAAACGAGCCACACGAGTTTCGCCTTGGCACGAGCTTCAACTTTCATTCACAATCTTCATGGGTGCATCAAGTATCCATTTAGGCGTCTCATATATGTTTTCTCATTTTAAAAGCATAGAAATTTGTTGGAGTTTGCTCGTTATTTGACATTCAGGCAGTCTCTTTATAAGACTCGAATCCAGTCATGATGAGTGACAATTCCGTCACTAGGGACCACATAATTACACCAGGCCATTACCACGTCGTCGTCAATATACTGCAATACATCGCCCTTAGTTCCAGTCCGAATTTGATGTTCGATGATGTACCGTGATACATGCTGTTAAGATCCAATGCGCTTCCATTCTCACAATAGCCCGTAGAACTTTAGAGTACTGCCCTTTAGAGGGGTTGTTGTTACTATATAGGTTACCGAGTGCAGTGTCCTAAGAAGATTAGTATAGAATATTAGATTAGACGATTAGTTGAATCTCCTTTGTCTTCTTCCCCTAAGTTGAAGGTGGCAGGTATATTGACGGTGGACGTACCAGATCAACCATAACTCCTTGCCTACGTAGGGTACCCAACTCTCACTAATAAAATATCGAGTTGAGTTTTTACTTAAAACAAATAGAAAGGTTCACTCTCACAAACATTCTTTTGTGTTATACACGGTCCCTACTACACCAGAGACTGGACCTTGGAGTTGTAAATGGTTGAGTATGAATGAACAAATGTAAGCTATGGAATTTGACATTGCGAAACCCACACACACAAGATATTTTAAATTTTGTGTTTACATATTTACATATTTTACATATCGTAGCATTTACAACAGAGGATAGGTAGCAATTTTAAAAATCCCTAATCTTCTCCCCAGTTGCTCCTCCCGAGCTCACCAGGTGAGCTCGGGAGCTGTGATACATTCTCAGTCAGTACAGTCTCCTTCAAATCTCCCTAGCAGCATACTCCCTTCCACGTTTGAGAGATTGACTTTCGATTCGAGCTTGATTTTCGATTCAAGCTCTATGTGACTCTCTTATAATGGCCTAAAAGAAACATGACACACTAAAGTGCAAACTAAACGTGACGCAACTGAATAAATATCTGAGGTCGCTCGCAATTGGATCCAACTTCTATCCCTAGAAAGAAACTCTTTTGGGCATTGGAGCTTTCTACTTCTAGAGCTTCAGAGTTACTGTCGGCCGCCGAGGAAGTGGAAAACCAGAATAATAGAGGCCTTGGAGAATACCATACGACAAACTTCTATGCTACACACGCCAAATTAACACATGACGCACTACTTTCTGTTTTCCCTACCGGATCCTGATATAAGCACTAGTGGTTGTGGAACCCACAACCACTAGTGCTTATGGAATCCTTCATGAGGAACTACGTGATCGGAGGCTTTGGCCGCGATCGCGTCTGCTTCGAAACTCGGGAACGCATTGCAGGGAACAGTGGAACATGGAGTGTGCTGAGGCTGCGGTCCTCTTAGCTTGGCAAGGTCCAATTAGTTTCGGCCTTCGTCCCATGCCCTTCTAGGTAGAAGAAGGTCGTGGGTTGAGATCAATGTCCTCGAATGTAAATGAGAGATTTGGATCGATCCAGTTCCACAACATGTGTGCTGAAACGGGCCGGATACAGGTTGTGTTAGTCAAAACCAAATGTGCAGAAGGAAACAGATGGAACGTCTCCGTCTCTCCCAGCAACTTCTCGCTAAACTCGGTGAAGGAAGAGTACCACTTCTCCCTATCGTCACCGACGGGTCCTTGGATTTTTTTCGTGAAGTGTGAGACAAACTTTCTGCTGATGAAGTCATGCTTGTTCACATAGAGATACGGAGACCAATTGGCTTGGGCCAGTTTATTGAAATCGTCAAATGCTTGTTCTCTCCTGACGGTGTTTTTGGTGTCGGCGTCGGCCACTGCATGGTATAATGATTTAGCAGTGCTCTTAACAAGGTCATAGAAGTGTCCAACCCTTTCCGGCAATGCATCTTTAATTACACGTTCCACAACATGTGCGGCGCTGCGCGCCAGCGATTCCAGAGTGGTGAACGGAGGATTGAAGAAGTGACCCTCGAGCACACAGCCTTCGAGTGCCAGCTTTCGACAGACCAGCAAGCCCGCTGCGGCCCCGAGTGAATGACCCGTCACGTGCACGTTGCAGTTCCCATGTTGCTCACTGAGACGCCGGACCACATACTCCAGAAGTGGGATCAATGTTGAAGAGTTCAGAGTCTCCAGAACAATCTTGGCATCATTGTAGAGATCCACCGAAGCCTCGGGCTCAGTTCCCCGGATGGCGACTACCCACTCTGGAGCCTCGGCTAAAGGACTGTCCTTATTTCGTTGGAAGACACCGAAGTACTGGTGCTGACGCTCAGCCTCCAGTTCTGCACAACCATATATTTTTGGCCGGAGTCAAGCAAGGTCGGATTCAGATGGGGTTCAGGTCGAGATGGATCATGTGAGTACGATACAACACGCACCTTTTGCATAGAGTTGACGTTCTTCCTCTGTCAATACTGACTCCAAGGGAACCAGATCATAGTGCACCTTGGTCCACCATTTCTTGTATTTTTTTGCAGGTTTGCGTCTGAACCTGTCGTACATCCCATAGACCAGCCTTCCGTGAATGATGACACGTTTCTTGATCTTCCACACTCTTGCATCACTGTCATGATCATGGGCCGACATTGAGCTTGATCAGTTACACCGTATCTTAGACGCTAAAGCTTCTGGCCTTCTTCCAATGCACGTTACAAGTTTTCATGTCTATGAAACGAAGATTAGTACAGGCAATATCAGAACTTAAAGTCTAATCAGTCTTCTTACCCTTTCTGATCGTTTGCGTGAAAGATCAGTCCTGGATCGTTCTTCTTTGCTTCCTTCTCCTTGTGATCATTATAAGCGCGGTACGTCTCATAGACGATCTTAGCAACCACGATCGTTTCCATGGTCTGGTCTCTGAAAAGGATACGAAGGTGTCTAACCTCGTGCCAAAGTGACAGGCCTGGTCGGGAATCCCCGTGCAAATCCCCGACCAAATCCCCACAATCCGCATACAAAGACGCTGTCTTGCGCCGCCTAGACCCAGGCCTGCTCGCTCACCCCACACCATGAAGCCACTGCCATTGAAACTGGCTTCTGAGCTGATTTATATGCTGCACATGCTTGCCTTCGGTGTTGCTAGGATCACGCGGTGGCTTTGACCTCCCGTGTCTTAGACCTTCTGTCCGGCCACGGAATCCGAATCATCGTCATCGAATCATCCCATGATCATGATCATCTGTACCACACCGTACTCAGGAACCCATAATCAGAAATAAAATATTGTAAGTGACAGAAGTTTCAACTCCTGTTTAACAACTCGAGTGGCATAGAAGTCCACGACAGATACCATGCAGAAACTTTCTACAAGTTGAAATTATATTATAAGCTCAAAAAAGGTAAACATTGACGCAGATAGTGCGCTCACTTCCGAGTCTTCCGAGTCTAATTCTCTTTCTTTCATTACATTAAGCGAAGAAGTCAATATTCCGCGCATCATCGCATAATTTTGAGACTTTCTTGTGTCACTTATTGATCCGAGGTCAAGCTCTTTTAGAAATACAGATATACTGCCGTATATCTGGAGCAGCCGGTGTTCTTCTTCGTCATCTTCATCGCTTATGTTGCATGTTTACGACGGATGGTGGGTCCGTGGATGCGTTTGGATGATAGCAGGATCATCTTCCAGGTGTCTACCTTTGAAGCTTCATTAAATCATTCGTAGAGGATGAGGCTAGCTAGTTCGTCATTTGGATAGCCGGTGATCGATTGATGCTGTGAAAAAAAAACGGGTAGACCTTTGACTGATCTTTTGACTGATAGTGATACTCGGGTGTGGTTTTAGTGTTCAAAAACAGTAAACCGTGTCACATATCTTAATTGTGTGGGTGATTTGGACGGCAAATGAGCAAAACGAAATCAACGATGGCAGTCAATCAGACTGAAAAATTGAAACCTCGACGATCGGGATGGGGAAACCGAGTGATGAGTAGAGGGATGAGAATATGGGAAGGAGATCAGTATGATGATCAGAGATCAGTATAACTGGGTTAGCAGGAGAAGGGAGGAAAGAAACCGTGTGCAGGAAGAGGTGGGCATCACATCACAATATGAGGTATAATTTTTTCCAACCTTTGAGCTCGTGGAATAAATCATGCTCCAAGAGTATCAAGTGGTGAGTATAATGCTAATCGCACCTTAGCTCGGCTCATCTTAGCCCACGATGAGCTCTGACTTTGAAATTGGATTCAATCACTGAAAATTGATCTTAGCACAAACTAAGGATACACAGGCTCGTGCAAGTTGCACCTGTTGTGCACCAGTGTTCGACTCCCATCCTGCTCGCTAGTGGTCCTGGCGTCTCCCTCACAATAACAACTGACCTTTCAGTTTCTGCATGAATGCGAAGTATCAACATCCTTTGTTTACTGCATCAACTCTCAACTCGTTCCAATTGTATGTGAACTAGCTGGCTGTCAAGGTAGTATCTATATATTAAATCATATAACTTCACTACAGAATATATCTGTAAGATCGTAATTGGATATATTACATTTGAGGATAGTAAAACTTAAGAGATCCATGTAAAGGGTGTGATAAGTTTTTTATTGCCCTTGTACGTCCTCATGAAGTAAGTGAAGAAACAGATTGTTTATTCTACCGGAATATGCATGGAATCTGTCAGATTTGCAGTTGTGTTGAAGCTTTTTTTAACTCATCAAAATTACCGAAAGATTGTGGAATTGCAGTGAGATTTTGATAGCGATAGCCCATGCATTAAGTACACCAGCATGCTTGACTTCCATCATTATGGAAGAAGGGAGAGATGCAGCGGAAAGCATAAGATGCATATTTTATGAAAATATCATAAGTCAGAATAGGCTCGAATCATACTCACGGTTACGGTTTCGAGGTCGGAGAAGAGCCAGCTGTAACTCTCTTATATTCAGTGAGTTTACTTTGGCAACCATTAAGAAAAAAATGAATTATATCTTTCTGTAGCCACTATGATTGTTGAGAGAACTTGGAAGTCATGAGGGAGAAAATACAATTGAAACTAAAACGTTTGAAGACCTGATAATACTCGCGTTCATTCTCTAGCACGGTACTGTTTGACTTTAGAATTGGTTGAGTTCTATAGACTTTACTTATCTCGGCTAATAATCAAGCAGTACACACTATCCAAAAAAATTCAGGAAATCTTTACTGACCAGCTGAGGACTCACGTCGACTATCTGGAGAATCCACGACGGATGACATCCGTATTCAACCACACTGTGTTTGACAATGCCATTTATATAAATGCTTTTAACGGATAAGACAAGGCATCAAATTCCTAAAACCCTGACAGTTATCTATGCGCTGAATAACACGGTATCAATAGAATATGTTCATGTCAGAAGAAGAAGCAAAGCGCGGATAAATTAGAAGTTGCAAGTCCAACTCAATTGTAGATGCTATGTGGCATATACATGGATATATATATATATATATACCCAGAACTCAAGCTACAAGGAATAAACGATTAGGGGAACAAGCACAAAGAACAGAAGCTAAGGTTTATCCGTTTGGGGTCCAAATTCAAAAAAAAATGTGAACACTCACTCCCAATAAATCGGAGTTGAGCCCTCACCTTAATTGAAGCATTGACTTGTTTTTCCAGCGTTTCCCTAATTAGCCTTGAGATGTAGTGTACTTTTCTAGATTATAATCATGACTAGAATCCGAATGCAGCTTGACTGTGCATAATTGGTTGGAGGACCAAAAGAACAGAGGTTAGTTATACTATATAGCTCCCTGGAAGTGGGTATGTTGCCATGTTTTTTTTTCATAACCTTCGTATCGTGAATACGAGGGCATGTGTTCCACGCTCATAGGCCGTACGACTGACAAGCAGGGTCGACTTCTCTGAGCTGTTACATATCTGGGCGAAGTTTTGCATTCTGCTACAAAGAGGCAGTTTCACCTGCACGTGCTACATGTTAAAAGACAATATTCTTTTGCTGTATGCATATAGAGAGAATGTGTCATCATTCTCTGGATCTGTAGTATAGTGAGTATCTGAGACCCGACTAGAGTATTTGGACTCTTTCAGTCAAGATGCTGACCCTACTTACTGTGTCCAGCAGATATGTCCAGATGCTGTGGACTTCGTTCATGAATATTAAATTCTGGTCCCCAAAGCCTTTCTGGACCCTGTAGGAGTGCCCAAGCTACTGATCAAGGCAATTGAACTGTGCAACGTTTCGTAAAACCGCACATACGATGAGTTTTTATTGAGTAGAGCCGGGTGTGATTTGGGACACGATCAAACTTTTGAAGTAATTGGTCGATCGGCTCGGTCTACCTAGTGATCAAATTTTCGTTTGTGATTCTATCGACATAAATGGTCAGTATTTGAGGTATACATGACAAAGCCTTCAATCCATTCGTGAATCGTGATTTCACCGGTTATCATAATGAGTTTGCTGGGAGCAAGTACTTCATTCAAATAGGCATTCGGAGAATCAACCAGTCCTATAGAATTGCATCTGATACCCGACCCTGTTTGCAAGTGACTAGCCTATTCAATGATTAAGTCCAAGGATGGGAAAATTTGTGATATCAATAACTCATGTTATACTGATCCAATTCATAGTTACATAGCGGACGGCATTATGGACTCTTTTAGTCGCTTCCAAGGGAGCTTCATGACAAGCATATGAGTCGGATTCTGTAAGATTTTCTTACCTCATGAAGAAATCTATGAGCTCCAAGTATTCAAGTCAGAGTGGAACTAGAGGACCTAGGATGAACACGTCGAAGAAAGTAGATCGAATTATTTGCACATGCTGAGGACTTTAGATTTGAGCAGATAACAATATGAGACAGGTGAACCGTCACGATCAGACTTTGTCACCATCGACACTCCAGTAAATTTTGAGTTTTTTCAGATGATATCACAAAGTTTTACTCCTGTGTTTAAATCACGCATCAATGAAGATGTTAATGCATGATCTTTGAACTTACTCAATTAATTTTAGGGTCATCCCCAGTCGCGTCAGTTTTCATAACGTGACACAGGCCCAAACAATCATCATGAAGATAAATCATAAATGTCGGGACCGCTTGAGAATTGTTAGAGAGGAGGTTAATCCCCCAAGGATTCGTCTAGAATCCAGGCTTGTTGCTAGTGACTTGGAGCAAAAGTACGGAGTGTACTACAAGATAACTTTGCAACCAGAGTCCGCTGGCCTACTCTTGGAGCAATGGTAGATTCCAATAGTCAGCTAGATTCCAACGTAATAAAGTTTAATAGAAGGTAAAACTATCACTATACTTTATTTCGATGATGTTCTAATTTTTGGGAACAGTTTTCTCGTGTCGCGGAATCAAGGCACAACTTAGCTTAAGGTATAAGATGAAGGATTTAGGTAGAGTCTCTTGTTATCTTGGGGTAGACATTGTGTAAATATCAATACGAGGGGAATTTTTATGCATCAAAACGGCTACACTGAGTACTTACTCAGGGAGTGCAACTTGGACGCGTCATTGATCGAATCAATTTTGCTTCCGGTTGAGCTTGTTCTTAAAGCAAATACAAATACGCCACCCGCTTACACTTCAAAATATGGTCACGTAGTCGATAAGCTCATTTTCCTCTATCACACTTGAATTGATATTTTGCGCGCTGTTGGACTTCTCAGTTGGTTTATGCATAAACTGCAGATGGGTCATTGAAATGCTGTTCAACACCTCCTACGGTACCTCAACAACACCGTTAACTTTGGCTTGCTTTACAAAACAGGATAACAACATAACCAAGGCTATACTGACGCGGATAACCTTAGTTTTCCCAATACCAAGACACAAATTTGAAAAGAAAAAAATAGACGGAACCCCCAAATGGGTATTAGGTGCGCTCATGATATTTGTATATGCAGGGTGAAGCATCTTTTTTAGGGCCGGTATAAGCAAGGAACACCAAAACATGAGAAACAAGGCTACATTTGAGCTTCCGTTCGAGCGAGGGGATCGATTCTTGGAAATGACAATGTTTTGGCACTATCCACCCACATCA